GGAGAGAATCCGTACGTGGAACCGAACGAAAGCAATTACGATTAAGTTGAACCTCCCGCACTTCTTCTTTCGCACTTGTTCGAGACGACGGGAGGAGAACAGCACTCACTCACGAGGAGGCTAGATCGTCCTCACTCCGATGATCCAGCATCATCGCAGCGCGCCTCCTCGCGGTTCCACGCCACAAATGCGAACAGTTTACCGATTACTCGCATCGCATTGAGCGCGACATTTGCGTTTGACAAAAATTTCGTAGTTGACAAAGAGGGAGCGTGTATAGCTCTCGCAGAGAACTCCCGCAACTGGACGACGCGAGAAAAAACGAGGAGCAACGAGGCGAGACGAGGCGGGACGGGACGAGACGAGACGAGGCGCGGCGCGGCGAGACGAGACGAGACGAGACGAGGTACAAAAAAAAAAAGGGAAGGCAAAACGGCGCAATGTCGTGACACGACGCGAGAATAATACTCAGCCAACACGCGTGCCGGCTCGGCGTCGACTGAATTCAACGGCAGTCGCGCGCTACGAGAGGGAGGCGTGTCTCCGGCGTACGATAGAAAGAGACCAAGTTATGCCACCGCGGCGGAGAAGGGATGAAGAAGGCACGAAGAAGAGAGGAGAATGGTTTTCACCGCGTTAGACAGGGACGTGGAAAAGGATGAGCGACCGACCGGCCGTCGGAGACCATAGTCACACTGGTTGCAACTGTTAGATGGAGTTGAGCGGCTGGTGCTGAGAAGCGGAGCAAAGCAGTAGAGGGGAAAGGAGAGAAATGGCTTCAGGAGAAACGAACGCGACTGGATTGGAACGGAACGAAATGGAATGGAATGGAATGGAATGAGATGCCTCGGTTCGCGGAGACGGACGAATAACACAAAGAGCAAAAGAGAGTTACACAAACGCTGATTATCCAAAACTACCGTTTGCAACGCTACCGTTAGCGATAGCGCAGGTATGCACAAACACTGATAGCTCTTCTACCCTAGCGATCCCTGTCGCGTACTTTCCGTTCCATTCCGTCAAATCTTACGATCGATTTAAACGTGATTTCGTTTAGCGTGCCGATGTTCCTTTCTTTTTTAAACTCCAAACAATTTCCAATTCAATTTCGCTCAAGACACGCTTCAGTTTTCGCTGAAACTATAAACGCGGAGCTTCAATTGAAATCGCAGATCCCACGCAATCTCCCGGTGAATGAAAGTCAAAGTTCATCGTTGAAGTAAATGTAAATTACGCTACGTATTTTTTTTTTTTTTTTTTTTTTTTGTAAAATACATTTAGGAAGAATTCAAAGATGCATCGAACGCGCATGACGCACGGTCTAAAGTATATTCAAATATATATATATATATATATGTCATATTCGCGATATTTAACACGTTCCGTGCCAAGCGATTTTTGCCTTTTGTTGTCGTTCAGG